AAAAAACATAATTTTGAAGTAAACGTGAAAAATAAAAATATTCATTTTTAGTTGTGATAAAAAAAGTTTAAAAAAAAAACAGTTCTGATGAGAAAATTTGTATTTTATTTTCCCATTCTACTATAGACATAATTGTAATCATCAAAGTTAAAAGCTAAGATATATAATTATTTAGATAACTTCATTTATCCACTACTTTTAGATTCTGAGAGTAGCAAGGGAGCTATTGGTTTTGCAATGCTGTTTTTGTTTTTCCTTTTTTCTGGTTGTGGACATGTTTCTTCCTAGTAAACTTGCTCCGATGTATAAGTGTAACATCTTTTCTATAAGCTCTTGATGTATAGATATTATTTTTTTAAGTTGTAATTTTTGATTTTCGACGCCATTTTTTAAATAAAAGCACAAAGTGGGAAAAAACGTAGGAAAACGTACAATTTCACTATTTCATTAATTCTTAAAAACACGGACGACGTTTTCTACTAGAAAAAATGGTTGTATTGAAATATTACAAGACAACTTTTTATTTACTATATTAACATTTGAGCTTTTAAGGAATTTTAATTTTGGGAGTTTGTTGTTATTCGATAATTAATACATATAGAGACTTGAAATTTGGTAATAATACTTATATTGGACTTAGACGTGGTAAAATTTCTAAAATCATCGGACGACTTTTTTTTTTTAATAAACGTTTTGAAATCAAATTTAAACGAAAATAGCAAAAAAAAAAATTACGTCACTTCAAGCTATGTAATACCGAACTGCGCTCAGAATCATCTTTCGTCAAGCAATGGTTTATCGTTTCTTACAGATGTAAATGAAATAACCTTATATATCCTACCTTCCCAATTTTTCATCCACAACAGTGGCCGCTCTCGTCTCCAGTATTAGTTCTTTTTTTTTTTTATTGTTATAAATTTTTAAAATCATTATCGACGGATATCTGTTCGTTATCTATATTATATTAAGTGTAGGGGTTCTATTCCCAGTAGGTTATCATTTGTATTTTTTTTTTGTTCTAATAATTTTCTTCAGTGTTACATAAATACGCGTCTATATATGTTTACTGTTTTATAACAATACCTACGTAAAAAGGTAATTTGTGATGATGTATGATGTATGTATTTTTTTAAATTTACTACAGTTAGATCAAAGCAATAATAATATTTGATAGCATCAAAATATTATAATCCTCAAGTCATATTATGAGATGGGTTATTTATGACTAAATATAATTATCCTAAATAATAATTTTATTTTCCGGCAATCGCGTGTTGTCGAGAAATATACCTACTACCTCTGTCCTAGAAAGACCTTGTCATAATAATGATACTATGAGTATATAATAATAGATTGAAATTTTCCATTGCAATAAAAATTATACAGTAGCATTCAAACATAATTTGTGTACCAATCTTAGTTCGATTCAATAATATATCATTATTATATAGTTATTAATTATTACAATACAATATCACGATAATAATTTGTATTTGTTAACTAAGGAGAACCGGATAGGTTTTATTTTACATATTTAAAATGCCGTTGATTCGGTCTATATGTTAATAAAATTATTAATATTAATATTATCAACAGATAAACTGCTCAAACCTATGAGGCACCTATGAGGTAAAGTCAAAGTCTAAATTGGTACCCAGAATTTGCCAACACCAGCACATCTTCATTTTTGAAATTTCTGGACGAATTACTCGATAACGTTCTATTTTATACTAAATTAAATTTATTGCAGTTGTCCTATAGCAATTTGTTGATGGTTTATAACAAGTACAATATCGTCAAATTTCATATATAATCGATTTTCGAAAAAGCTTATATCATCGACATATGATATTGAAAAAAAAAAACTTTGAGAGAACTGATGATCGTTTCGAACAAAAAAAAGGGTGATAAATTGATTTCTATTTAATTTTTTTATACGAGAGGCACGCGTAACGCGCTTAAAATTTTACTACTGTACCTGCTTTTTTGTTTGTAGGTAAACCCGATACTGGTGTAGACTGTGTAGGTACACTTTTCAAGTACACGGTTTTGTTTATTTGAATGTTAATTCCAAGTGAATACGTCAGAGTGTATATGTACGTAATATGAATATAATGAATGTCATGAATATTACATGAAATAATTATAAAATCAATGTCGTAGCCAACTACGTATGCTCACTATATAGAATAATATGTTCAACTCGCAGTAAAATTGTACGGAATAATGTTATTGCAAGTGTTACGATTGTTTATAATATTTATACCCCGTGGCCAAGCAATATAATAAGCAGGTAGTATTTACTATTTTATATGAATACACGGGAACGTCGATGCACACGAATTGCGTTCCGAAATCCCTTTTCCACATGAACTGACGTCAGTCGCGCGGTATAAACAATAATAATTATTGTACAATCTACTAATTCTGCGGCAAACTTTCTAGTTTTTTATTTGACCCGGTAAACAATTTAGTGTATCACTCAATTCAGTGCTCAAATAGCTTGAGTGAATGTGGCTGAATGTTTGCCTTTGCGTAAATCTGGGTGACTTTTATTTAACAGTCAATCATTACCGACTTTTGTTCATTTGTTCCCGATTGATATTTTTTTCGTTTTTCTTAACATTTTCTAGTAAATAATAAAGTGTACCTTCTGAATGTATGAATAAATCGTATTATATTCATATTATTAACTGTACATACCTATTTAATTTGAATATTAGCAGATTGAAAATATTATAAATTATGATAAATAGGAAACAAATATAATAATAATATGCATTATAATAATTACAATAACATTACTCAAATGAAGTAGGTATATAAATAATCAAGCACGTCAATTTATACAAAGAATTATCACATTGAACTTTTTTTTTCACGACAAATCAAATATTTTGCGACGTTGCCGCATTTCGTAGATGGATTATCATTCTCCTACGAACGATAGAGGAATGCAGTTTTGTAATTAGATATAACCAGTTTGAGAATACAATTTTGTATTTCGTTCACGGACATATTGCATGTGAATAGTTCGTATACGGATCCTATTCGTATGAGTTTGAGAATAGGGTCCCAGGAAGTTCTTATCGGGGGACTGTTTAAATTCTATAGACTTTCCCGGAAACGACCCACGTAAGTCTAGCTATTTATTTTATTATTGGCTCAAAATAAACTACTCCTGGGAATTATTTTTTCGCATTTCCCGGCCCGTACCTACTTTTTACAGATGCCCGGGAGAGGATATTTTGAGCCTAAGTGGGTATAAATTTATTATCATCATTGTACCTACCTATTAATATAATAAATATATGTATATTAATATACCATACATATTTATATTATACCCAATTTATTGTGCAAAGTTAAATAAATAAACATTAATTCATATTTTACGTTATTTCAACATCTATATAAACAGTATTTATTTCAAGCTTTGTGCCTAGTAAGAGGAGGGTGGTATTGAAGTAGCGTTTCTCATCTAAATAGGTAGATATATGTATAATTAATTTTTTATCTCTACTTAAAATATAGTTAAACATATTTTTAAATAATAAAACTCAGTTTTAGTTATAACTGGTGTATAGGCATGTCAATTTAATTTAATTTAATTATCTTCGTATACAAAAATGTACAAACGAAGGTTATGAAGATGATTAATAAACGTAATGAAATTTCCGATCATAGGTTTCCTATTATTTGCATTATAATAATATTTATTATCATACCAAACAATGATTATAATCACCTATAAATAATAAAATATTTTGTTGAAAATTCGGACAGAAAATTACAGATGTTTAAAATGTTTTAATGTTACTTGGGTATACACGTAATCCTCCGTACCTATATTATTATATAGGGGGGGTATCTCCATGGTTACTCAATGAAGCAATTATGGAAGTAATAAACACTTACCAAATTTGAGGGTGTAGAAATGGCATTTACCTTCCCCCCTTGTCATCAGTTAGCCGTTATATCGGCTGGGTGTGGACTTAGATCGGAGTTTTCTAATTGCGAAAATAATGAAAACCGTACGAGTTGCGTACGAGACTTAAAAATGTGATATACGAATTCTGGATACAAATATAATATACTATTGCGGACATATTTACAATCGTTGTATTTTTGATATAATGATTCCGGAAACGGGTTCCAATGTGAACGTTTGGCAACTTGTATTATGGTAATATCAATAATCGATGTTATATTATTATTGTTTACTTATCTAGTTACTGTGTTAATGATTAATCATCATCATTAATAAATATTGAGATTGGCCCAGTGCTTTTGTGATGGTAGTTAAAAAATATTTCAAATCTGTTTGACGACGACCTTACTCGAACAGTCATACCTGTATAAATATCTTTCGTCTTTATATAGTGAAAAATTTGAAAAAATTACATAATGGTTTTAAGTTCTATTTTCCCCGCATAATGTGCAACAAAGTTCATCGGTGGGTATGTACCAAAAATCGAAAAATGCATTTTTAAAATTACCATTTTTTTTTTTTTTTTAATAGGTACAATATAAAATATAAAGTATTAACAGAAATAACAAAAAATATCTACACCTTTAAGCTAAGCTTATGGTAGTGCAGGGAGTTATTTTATACATACGATTAAAGTAAATTGCATAATATAATAAATATAAATAATTTATTGAAAATAGATTTTTTAATATCAAATTATGAACATAGAATTATCTCATTAAACAAAACATCATTGATACAATTCTTGATGTTAGTATTATTATAAATACAATGTTTTAACATCAATTGGCAAAGAGTTAAAACTTACAGGATCCAGATCAATTATGAACTTTAGACCAACTTGTGTTAATGTATAATACTTTAATATTAAATAATCTTTCTTTCCTTATGTGCTTATCATTCTGTTGAATAGCCCAAGTCAGATTGCCCTTTTTTAAACATACAGGAATATTATAATATTTTGTGTTACCCCTAATGGATTAAGAATATTTTTAGAAGCACCATTCCAAATCACCATACCATATTGCATTATAAATTAGTATAAAAAAAGATCCTATCCTCACAGTATGAGGTACCTGTCGGTAGGGGTCCCAATCAAAGAGCATGTGCTGCACTGTGACCTCAAAATGCTGACAGTACACATACTGTACATTTGGGACGCGTTCCATACGACACAGGTAGTGCCTGGAGCACCATTGAGTCACGTGACTCAGTGCCGTGAGCCGTTAAAACCTGGGTGACATGGAAGGTGAGTTCTTTCAGACATCTCGTCATCCATCTCTTCTGGTCCAGCAGTATCCTGCGTGTCCAACGTGCCCGCGTATACCCGGGTTAGGTACCTAGATAGAATATCATTAGTTATGACTTTTGAGTACCTAACTAAAAATTTATTTTGATTAGTAAACTTTCGATACACTTTAAGAAAGAATATCAGATCTCAAAATAAATACGTAGGTAACTTAGTTAATTGTTACTTATATCATTTATAAGTTATACTACAAAGCATATAAGTAATCTCTTTCTCTCGTTCGTTTGTAAAAAGCTAGTCTTGGCCCACAGCCATAAAATCCAAAACATTTATCGTGAAACTATGTACAGCTGAATAAATATTGGCTACACCTGAATTAAAAATACTATATATATAAAAAAAAAAAAAAAAAATAGATACTGTCTACTATAAAATGTCTACCCCATTATGATAACTGCATTCAAAATACAACGAATTTACGAATTAAATTGCTTTGATTAACTTTTAATAGAGTAAGTTTTCTAGTCGATATTGATTGTTGACAAATAGTAAACCCAATAAAAAGCACATAGAAAGCTCACAGAATTTGTATTGTGTTAGTAATGTTACTATTATGTATTAATAATTTATATTACCTATTTACGAGTAGATAATATTATTTAATATTTATTCGAAAACTTTACAAAAGTTATAAATATTACAAGTTATAACACTGTATTTTTAAACTAACACGTTCCAACGAGTTGCGCCATATTATTATTACTAAAATAATTATTGCAAGCGATGAAATCACGATTCACAGATTACCGACACTCAGCGGCAGTGCCCCACTGCCACAAACCCGCAATATATGCTCGTTGTCCGTTGATCGGCATTCGTCAGTCGTTCACTTGTCTTGATCGTTTTATGTTTAGTTTTGTTTACCATTAATATTCTTCTTTTTTTCTGGCCCAATTTTTATTCTCGTTTGTAGATGATGGTTTCCTTCAACGTCGACGATGGTCTATTCAGAACTTTTCTGTTTTACTCGGCTATACTGGTACTCAAAGTCCTCGCCATGGCCTTGTTGACGGGCAAGCATCGGTTCACTAAAAAGGTAATTTTTTAAATGACTTGTGGTGTGTGTTTCTTGTTACCTAACCACCCAAATTGAAACAATTGTCGTTAAAAACCATCCAAGTATTACATAATATTATTAGTGTGTTTTTTTATTTTAAATATTAATCGAAAGTAAAAATACAAATTTCATGTTTAATATTCGTTTTTATTTTTTTTATATAATACCAGTAATAATATTTTATTTAATTAACTAGGTATACCACTTCAATCAGTTAGCGTATACATATTTGGAAACATATTTTTTATAATATTATCTATTACAATTTAAAATGTACTAATCTAAGGTACCTATATTTTATTATTTTAGATAGATATAAAAACTCGTTGAAAATTATTATTTGAAAATATTTGTACTGATACCAGNCTTAAAATCCGGTTTGATTGATATGAAAAATAATCACTTCAGTCTAAATACTCGAATACACGACCGCATAAATGAAAACAGATGCAACGTATACGAAAAAAGTATTTAGAAATAATCCCACTATTGTTAAAGCGTTCTCTTTTGTGCGCCGTAATTTATTATAATACGGAGGTCAATTATTATTGTTATTTGTCGTCGTACTTAGTGCGGCATCCGATAGTACCTACATACAATTGAGTCATATCGTAAAATACGAGATATCATAAATACGAGTATTATGTAAAATACGGGTATAAAAAAGGCTTAAACTACTGATGGGTGTACCACTGTTTTAGTAGGGAAGTTGGTAGGGAGGACAAATAGACAAATTTGATTTATAGGCTTGTACACAAAATCATTTCTAACGATAAACGATTCTGAGCAGAGTATTATTAGTCAATTCTTTACCTTGTTGCCGAGCCTCGGTCACTCAGGTAATTCGAAAATAAACAAAATGTGTTGGAAAATTGCCAGTTTTTCCCATTTATTGAGAAAACAACAAAGAAAATCAAACGATTATTTCAATGCAGCCTCAGCATTTCGAATGTAAACATATCTGTTTTTATATGCTCTGTATTTTAGAAATGTATATCTGTATACATCATAATATTTACCGTATTACTCTTATTGTTGTATACAAAAACTAAATTACCCAATTAATTACCACAATAACTGAATATATTCTGCATTTCTAATAAAGTCTTATCATATTGTCTACTTGATAGAGTAGTACCCAAGGCCGAAAATATAATAGGTGACTACCAGGGTGGGTTTAGGACCAATAGATCCACAACTGACCAAATGTTCATTCTAAGACAAATCATCCAAAAACGTTTGGAATTTGACAAGGAGGTACACGTGTTATTTGTGGATTTCAGAAAAGCTTATGACTCTGTACATAGAGAGAGTCTTTTAAACACTCTCAAAGATTTCAAATTCCCCAGAAAAATTATTAATTTCATTGGAGCCAGTCTCAATCATACAGATATACAGGTCAAGATAGGTAACGTAACATCGCAGCCAACTAGAGTAACGACAGGACTTCGGCAAGGGGATGCTTTGTCTCCAGTGCTGTTTAATTTAGTACTGGAGAGGGTAATACGTGAGATGAACATTTCGGAGGGAGTTATATTAGGACAGATCAGAATTGGAATGCTAGCATATGCGGATGATATCGCTCTCCTTGGTGAAGATTTAGATATGATAAAGAGATTGGGAAGTAATCTAATAAATACGGCAAAAAAAGTGGGCCTAACCATTAATGAGGAAAAAACAGAGTACCTTGTGGCTAGCCGAAGAAATAGAAATGGCGGTCTGGAACAATATATCAAAATTGAAGAACTCAAGTTCAAAAGAGTGTCTCAATTTAAGTATCTAGGGTCGATGATAACGGAGGATAACGACATCAAGACAGAGGTGTCAACAAGGATACAACTAGCGAATAGAGGATATTATGGACTTGAAAAAGTCTTGAAATCGAAGGCCTTATCCAAAGCCCTAAAAATCAAAATGTACATGACTCTACTAAGACCGATTGTTCTATACGGCTCAGAAACTTGGGCGCAGAAGAATCAAGATTAATGATATTCGAGAGAAATGTTCTGCGGAAAATTTTTGGCCCGATATACGATAGGCAAACGAATGAATGGAGAAAACTTCATAACGTGGAACTCCAAAGACTTTTCCAAAGGCCGAATATAGTTAGAGAGATCGCCAAGCGGACAATAAGTTGGGCAGGACATGCTTGGCGCAAACAGGGTACTTTGGTAAAATGGGTGATCGAGGAAGAGCCTAATGGAAAAAGACCACTAGGTAGACTTAAGTTAATATGGGAAGATGGTGTGAAGAGGGAAGTGTAAATGATAGAGCCTGGTGTCAAATGGAGAGAAGTAGCGGAGGACAGGGATAGGTGGCAAAGTTTAGCGTTTTCAGGATGGTCTTAAGGACCGTAACTAAAAAAAAAAAAAAAAATATACTACCCAAAGCAACTCATTGTGTAACATTTATAGCTCATAGTTTTCTAGTTAGTACCTATCACTTAGATTCTAATAAAAACAATATAAATACTTATAAAGATTCAGTGTAATTTTTTTTTTAGGTAGTTTGAATAATAATAACAAATATTCATAGAAATTGTAAATTTAACATTTAAATATTAAAAAAACTAAGTACTTAAAGTAAAATGTTATTTATAATTNAGTAAATAAGAACACAATACAACACAATAACAGTCAATACAATTTTTCATAGATTAGTATAATATGTATTTATACTATGTTGGTTGGTATCTACTGACTATTGTTACAGTAATACAATAATATGCCGGCGTAGGGAAAGTGGCGCGCCCATCGCCCAGTGCACTCATAAGTACACTGCAATAGCCTTACCATTACCTTGAGTGGTTGTGGTAGTTTGGTCCTCCAGGTTGGGGGTTATGTGCAGGGCTAACAACCCTGCCATGTGAAATAAACCTTGTTCAGGATACAACCATAAACTTGCCTCGGATATGTGGGGCTTTGGAGAACAAGACTGGAAAACGGAAACCTGGCTTATCTTTTGGAAGTCAAAGAAATCAGGAGATATAATTTAGGAGTGGTAGCCTTGCAGGAGATTAGGTGGAATGACAAAGGTACCTTGGATCTTCAAGACATGACTATATTCTACGGAGAATGTAATGATCGAGAATAATTTGGATTAAAATATATATATAGGAATTTATATGTAACAGATAAAAATCTGGAACAACCCCTAAATGAAACCCCCCCCCCGTAATAGAATCAGGATAGTCTTAGGCGATTTTAATGCCAAATTGGGAAAGGAAAACATATTTAAAACAACCATTTTTAATCACAGCATGCATGACATAACTAGTGAAAACGGACTTAGACTTATCGACTTTGCGAGTGGGAGAGGACTTGTTGTGAAAAGCACAATGTTCCCACGCAAAGATATCTACAAAGGGTCTTGGAAAACGCCTAATGGTAGATACACTAATGAAATAGAAAATGTTATGATTAACACAAGGTTTAAAAACTGTATGCAGGAGGTGAAAACAGTTAGAGGAGTTAACTAGAGTAACGACCGGACTTCGACAAGGGGATGCTTTGTCTCCAGTGATGTTTAGTTTAATACTGGAGAGGGTAATACGTGAAATGAACATTTCGGAGGGAGTTATATTAGGACAGATCAGAATTGGAATGCTAGCCTATGCGGATGATATCGCTCTCCTTGGTGAAGATTTAGATATGATAAAGAGATTGGGAAGTAATCTAATAAATACTGCAAAAAAAGTGGGCCTAATCGTTAATGAGGAAAAAACAGAGTACCTTGTGGCTAGCCGAAGAAATAGAAAATGGCGGTCTGGAACAA